AATTTTAAATAACTAATATTAATTAAAAATATTATAATGCCACGTTAATTAATGTATTTTGGATATAATTCTCACATGACCACCTAATTTTCCTATTCAATATTCATATGCACTCGATGAATTTCGATATATATGATGATGTCTTTTCCTTTCTTTTATTTTTTTCGTTCCTCAATTTGTTGAGTTGTTGGATTGATATATCTTGTCACATTATTGCTTCAATTAACTTCATATGGGCTCATCGATCATCCTAATAAATCACTCCTAATTAATGTATTATTTTTAAGATGCCATTGGTCCCCTCCCAATTAATTTATTTATTAAGTTCCATTGAATTATATTGCATTTACAAATGTTATTATGTGATGCAATAAGCAAAAAGAAAAAAAAAAATAAAAAATTGTCTAATTTGAGATAATGAGACCTCCTTTTAGTTGATTAAGTACTAATAATCACAGTACCAGATCTGCTACCTTATCCACAGTGGGCAGAGAATTAATATGTCAATCGCTTATGTGACATGTACACATTGAGCATAAGCAGTGGATGTGTACATGTTACATTAGCGGTGCATATTAATGTCGTGCCTTCCGTGAATAGGGGAGCAGATCTGATCATAGTTAGGGATGGCAATGGGTGACAAACCCGCTGGGGGGACCCCCCCGTCACCCGTCCCCATTAGGGAAAATACCCCCGTCACCCGCCCCCATCACCCGTCGCGGGTCCAGATTTCCCCCAGACCCGGCACCCGTGTGGGTGACGGGTACCCATCGGGTGACACAGACCCGATGAATATAATAACTAACTCGAACGATCTAAATTAATTCATAAGAAGCAAAAAACATATATTGGCCAAATTATATTGAAAAAATATATCTAGGGATTAGTAGTGTACATAATAACTTAAGTAGTGAAAATATAATTCATACACAAGTAGTGCAATAACTAGGGATAAAAAAAATAAGGAAAGTGTTTTAAATATTGAAAATAATTCATACACAAGTATGAATTAAGTTTTCTTGTATATTTAATAACTAGGGATAAACAAAATAATACACAAGTAGTTATTATATTGTATATTTAATTAAGTTTTCTTGAGATTGCCTCTTATTAGTTATATATCTAAGGATTAGTAGTGTTGTTGCCTGCTGAGTCTTTTCGGCTGGGCCAAAACATATATTTGGTCAAATTATATCGGGTACATTATACTCATGGGTTAACGGGTATGGGGGGAGGGGGAACGGACCCATCCCCGCTAGACCCGATGGGGGGACTTTTTCCCCATTAACAGATCCATGTGGCCAAATTATAGCCATACCCGGCTCCTAATGGAGTTTTTACCCATCGGGTTTCGGGTTTCGGGGGCCCATTGCCATCCCTAATCATAGTTAATGCCAAAAAAAAAAAAAATATAGCTTAAGCCCAACTAATCTATTCATGTGGGCCAGTCCAAATCGCCTAATTTTCCAAGCCTGCTGGACGTGAATTCAACTAGCCCCACCATCGAGTTGGCTGGGCCACTCAATCTATGGATTCGTCATGGCAATTTATGGGGAGTGATAAATAAAACGAGCGAATTCAAGATTGTTTATCGTTTTATTCAGTTAACAAGCTGAAACTAGCTCGACTCGATAAAGGCTCGAGCTTGAATTTGAGTATCAGAAGTTCTAACTCAGTTCGTTTAAACGTCTAGTTATGTGTTTATTTTATAGTTATTTACGGATAAAATATATTTAATGGTACAAATATTGTTGTCTATTATTATTTTATGGTGAAGATTTTTTTCGGTAATCTAACATGTTTTTTAAACAAATTATAATTTTTTTTTAGATATTTCTTGTAATAGTTGATCTTTTATTATTTTTCAAACAAAAAAAAATATTGATAGTATTTATACCAATTTTTAATAATTTATTTTAGATTATTAAATTCTACTTGAAGAAAAAAAAAATTGATAATATTTATATTGATTTAATCATGATTTTAGTTTAATTAAATTATACTTAAGTTATATTTGGTGTGTGGGTTTGCATAATTAATTTTCTCCAACCATCGGATCAAACCCTTAAAATGGAATAAATTAAACAACATTTCTTAAATTCACGTTTACATTTTAATTTTGTATTTTATTAAATGAATAATACACGTAAAAATCATCATTTATGCATGTTGTTAATCCAATAATATATATATATATATATATATATATAATAAAATAAAGTAAAAGTGAAAAGGGGGATTTTGTTTCAACATCAAGTCACACATCATATTATTAAAGGATTAGCCATTTACAATACAATTACTATTGTGCCCAAATTGCATCATAATAAGCATTATTACATGAAACTTCACTAATAATTATATGATTTGAAATAAAGTTTTCATGTCTTTGATCAGATGATTGGTTGTTTGGTGTAATATAAATATTTTCATTTTCCTCATGTAATTGTACAAAAATATAATTATTTTTTAAAGATTTTATATCACTACTTATTTCATTCTATTTGTTATTTAATAATCTGATTTACTCAAACAAAAGTGTTTAATATTAACACTTTTTACTGTTTTCCAGCAAACACCACACATTTAAATAACTTACCCCATGATCATATACAATTCTTACTGATTTTTACTATTTATAATAAGTAATTTTGGCTAGAAATAACTTAACCATTTAAATTAAACAAGTTTTATCAATATAATATTAGAAAAATGAAAAAAATAAATATAAAAAACATTAATGGAAAGGAGTGGACTACACTACTATGAAGGACCATATTATAGTTATAGGCATTGAAATAAATTTTGACATAATACTATTATCTTCTTATCTTGTATTCAGATCACTTTAAGAATCATAAAAAATTAAAAATAACATATTATTTTAGGCAAAATTTAATTTTGGTACGCCAAATTGACCCTTATCCATAAAAAGGTGCATTATTTTGGTGTACATCAAATTAAGTTAATACATTTATTTATAACTATATATATATATATATTTGGATAAAAAAAAATTGAGTAGACAATATAATATTATTGGGAAGTTGATTTATTAATATAATTTTGATCTAAATTGATGTTATTTTATGGATTAAAAACAACTTCACCTATCTAAATGCGAAGATTTCCCTTTTTTTTTCAGCCATTGTATCACTCATTTTAGACATGCCAAGGGCTGCCCGGCTCGTGGACTCGGCACGGACCTGACTCAGTCAAATCAGTCCGATCATACACGTTGACCACGGGTCCGAGACTGGACCAGATTTCAGACGGGCAGTTGCAGGGTCATCAATTTCATGACCCCACTGTGGGTCGATGGCCCGCTTTTCCTAATTTTTTTTTATCTTTTTCTATTGTTTTTTTAGAAGAATATGACGGACCATGTTCAGTCAATCGGGCCATTTACCAGACACGAGTATAGGTCCGTACCAGGTCCAAGTCAGTGTTTTGGAGCCTGACGGCCTAGCGGGCCAGGCCGAGCCTGACCCGACCCGGGTTTTGGCCATGTCTAACTCATTTATGTTAAATTATTTTTACTTTTTTTTTTTCCCACGGTGTGGTAAATGTCAATATATAGAGAAGTAACTTTAGGTACACGTGACATGTATGGTTACTTATTTTATTCACTTTGACTATTGTAATTCATATATAATATTTTCATACAAAACGACAATTTGCATGTAACAATACTTTCAATCCAAATTTATAACTTTAGACAGAAGATGACGCATGCATCACTACCCGCCAAAATTAAATTAAAAATAAAAAATCAATCTCGTTATTACGTTGTGAGAAAGAATATTGACAATATTATAGTATAGTACTATACAGCAACATTATACAACAAGCATATTATCAATTTGTCATGCTCAAGTAGAGACATTATTACATGTAATTCATTACTATTTATTTGCCGTTATTAATAATAAGGTTAAACAGTCATTTTTAATCAATATGCATAATTTTAATTAATTCAAAATATCGTAAAATATAAGAAACGAATATATATAAACAAATATACGCCATTTCATAGTATAAATGACAGGTCGACCAGAACACCATTGATACTCGACTTCTTTTAATAAATATATATTCATACTTTCAAATTGGAATATCATATGTTAAAAGCAATATAAATGTTTGAACATTTTGTTGAAAAAATAAGCAATTTTCTTTAAAATATATAACTGATCGACCAGACTAACTGTTAGGCCGATTCACACGAGAGAAATCGATGTATTTATGTTTTCGTATGCTCTCCTTTCACTAATCATTTCCTTTTTATAGAGATGTCTTAAAATCTAATTCAGTCCAATGCAAAAAGCAGCACCAGAATTTGCTTAGAAGCCACTTGATTGCTTCACCTCTCTCTCTCTCTCTCTCTCTCTCTCTCTCTCTCTCTCTCTCTCTCTAGAATCTTTTTCTATATCCCTCTCAACATCACTTGAACTCTAAGTATGAATTTTCAGTTAAATTAGCCCCCTTTGGAGATCATTAGAGAGAGATTATTTTTATATTTCTTTTTGTCTCTCATCACATGTTCTGTTAAAACATGTTTTGTGGGCTCTTGAGCAAAATGTGTTGTTAACACTTTAGCTATATCATTCTTATATTTTTGTTTAAGAAACATCACTATTAAGTTTGTTGTTTCGAAATAATTAGTCTCGATTGATCGATCGATCGATCGTGTAATAAAACAGTGGAATGGGTCGGAACTCTTGTTGTTTGAAACAGAAGATGAGAAAAGGGTTATGGTCACCAGAAGAAGATGAGAAGCTTTACAATTACATTACAAGGTTTGGTGTTGGCTGTTGGAGCTCTGTGCCCAAGTTAGCAGGTTTGTTTTTTACTTTTAATTCAAATTATCAAAAAAACCCATGAGGTTTATCTTATTACAGAAACAACCCCAACTTTTGTTTTTAACAGTTACAAATATCCCCAGTTCAGGGTGCAAATTGTAAACAAAGGGAACTGTGAGGGGGTGTTTTGAGTTTTGTGATTAACATTTTCTATTGTAAAAGTGAAAAAAAATAATATTTGTCATCCGAACTTTCGCGTTTTTTATTCAAATTACAAACGAAACCCTGCGGTTTGTCTTAATTACAGAAAGAACCCCAGACTTTTCTTGAAACTACACACACCACCAGTCCATGGTGCAAATTGTTAACAAGAGGAAATGTGAATGGTTGTTTTGAGTTTTTGTGATTTGACCTTTTCTTGAGATTTTTCTATACCAGGAAAAAAAAGAAAGAAAAAACTAATCGTGTTACGAACTTTCGCATTTTTTCAAACTAAATTTTGACGACAAACGGCCATTCGAGCTTTATGAAATTTTCGAGTTTCCGATTTTGCGGCATAGTGTGAGAATAAATAGTAAAATTTGCAGGGCTGCAAAGGTGTGGAAAAAGTTGTAGGCTGAGATGGATTAATTATCTTAGGCCTGACCTCAAGAGGGGAATGTTTTCTCAAGAAGAAGAGGATTTGATCATAAGTTTGCATGGAGCTCTTGGCAACAGGTTTTTTTTTTTATCTTGTTTTTTACCACAAAAGTTTGGCTAAATTGTAAAAGTGCCCATGATTTTGTAAAATTCCTATAGCAACACCATAAGGCATAAGATTTTTGAAATAGTAGTAAATGTAAGGGGGCATATGTAATTAAAGCATTGATCGAGATTCGAGAGAGAGAGCGCTAGTTCTTATCATAAATAAGTTAAACATCGGTGGCCGTAATGAAATTGTTATGAGAGAGTAGTTACAATACAGCAGCCACAAAACTATGCAATTTTCAAACACATCCCCAAATTTATTCGTTTTTTTCACACTTACACCCTAGGAGCCTTTGAAATTATTTACAAAAGCGCCCACTTTCGAAACGGTCTAAGGTGGCAAAATGCAATAACTAACATAGTTTAGGGGTAAAACCATGGGAAAAAAAGGAAAAGTTTGTGCATCGTTTACAAGGTTCGATAAATACCTCAACCCTTTTATACTCGGTTTTGATCGTGTTCGTAACCGAAAACTACAGTCCCAAAATGTCGGTTAATTAATCTTACGACATCGGTTAGAACTCAGAAAGAGACTGTTTAGTCTGTTTTTGAGCTTGTGGTTTTCACTTTTCAATTTTTCATGCAGTATTATTATTTTTCTTTTTTGCCGAAGTGACCCTTTATCTCTTGGAAAATTACAGGTGGGCCCAGATTGCAACACAACTACCAGGCAGAACAGACAACGAGATCAAAAACTTTTGGAACTCAAGCCTCAAGAAGAAGCTCATCAAACAAGGCATAGATCCAAACACCCACAAGCCGATAATAACCGAAATAATCGAGACACAACCGAAAAAAATCGAACTCAACGACGGTACTATTATTCCATACTCGTCGTCAAATCAGACGAATCTTCAGACAAAAGGGCTTCCGAATTTAGCAATACCCACACAAATAATCGAGCAACAACAACCGTACAATTTTGGCGGGAAACAAATCTACGACCCTTTATACTTAACCGATTTTCAAGCCAATATGGAACACGACTATTACCAACCGAATTTTCTCCCACAGCAGAGTCTGGAGGGCATTTTCGTCAATAACGAAAGTTTCTTCGGCTGCTCGATGCCCGACTTGGCGAACTTCGGCTCGATGAATCACAACGGGACGAGAGAAGAAGGGTCGAGCTCGAGCAATGTGTGGGGCCCGGGGAATAAGTTGGACCCGGTTTTTCGGGTTCAGTTTAGTGGGATTCAGATTGAAGAAGAAAAGAATAAGGCAATGAGTTTGTGGCAGCAAGAAGAAGAAGAAAGGGCTCATCATCAAAGGTTTGATCAAGAGAGTTCAGAGGGTAATTTTGGTAATCACCATAATCAATTGTCAGCATTGTCACAGGAGCTTGCAGGGGAAAATTTGGATGTGTTCAATCAAATATGAACTGTATATATTATCTATAATATATATAGTTTGTTTGTTTTTTTGTTTTTTTTTTTTTCATATATACA